ACAGAGGATAGAGCAACATCACTGTTGGCCTGCAAATTTAAAACCAGAAACCAGAAAAAATGAGAAAGACACGCAGATACAGGAAATATAGGCAAGAAGCAGAGGAAAGACGGAAGAGAAGAAGAAAATGGTTAATAAAAATCTACCCAGCTGCTGAATGAACATAGGTAAGGAAGGTCCAGAAACGACCCATATCTGCAACTTCTTCTTCTTCTTCAACAAGGACGCGATTTTAGAACAAGAAAATCAAACGGGCTCTGAATCTGATGAAATTTGCAAAAGCGGCAAATGAGAAAACGGTTTTGGTTGGCAGAGGATGAGAAGCAGGGGTCTGAGTATTTAACGTTAGATTTGATTCCTCAAACTGATGTGACTTGAAAGGGAAGTTCTAAGACACGTGGCCGAAATTAAATGCGCAATCGGCATCTGATTCTGCCTTAGTGCTGTGTAATTAAGCTTAGCACCGGCCAGATCAGGGTTGTCATATGAAGGATTATACTTCTTTATTGAGGTAATAGACAATTGGTGGGGCCCTTTATTTTCTTTATGAGCTTGACTATTTCAGTATTTTGGGCAATTTTAATTATTTTTTTTGTCCAAAAAAAAGGACCTGGTCCCATTTCAGGCCCCAACCTTTATTTGGATTGTTGGGTTATTTTTCATTTTTGTTACAAGGGTCGAACTCTGGTGGATGCTCTAACTAGAGATTACACCATCAGGTCTGCTACCTTGGAGGGACGGCAATTTTAATTATTGTGTTCATAAGATCTTAGGTAGGAGGATCAAGGGTGATTTTTCACTTGTTCGACTCGAACTCATAATTTGTGCATTATGGATAAAGTATTTTATCAATTAAGTTGCGCATTCATTTTATTACGTTCATAGTTTACGTTAATGTGAAAAAAAAAATTAATTTTGTACATATCAAAAGATATTTAATGCCTTCAAATCGAGTTTAACTGATAAAAAAAAAATCAGATATTGGACTCTCAAATCTTTTGCCCTTTTCTTTGTAAGAATTGAAATTCGCTCAAATCAAAAAGTTAACAAAGAAAAGATATTTAATGCTTTCTTTTATTACCCAAAAAAAAAAAACTGAGATTTCATTTCGTTGAATGAGAGAATCTTTACAGAGTAATGCTTGTATAAAGAGGTTGAAGCCTCTTTCTTCTGTCCTACAAAATCAGGTGTTCGTTTCCTACCGCACCAAGTAATGAGTTATGTAGGTGTTATTTGATAATTCAATTTAATACTTTAAATTAATGGATTCATATTTTAATATAATTAAATGTGTTTGATAATGAAAAATAGAACATTTGAATTAATTAAGTAATACTAAATTTTTTTAAGCAAAGCTTGCTCCTAGAAATAAATAATATGTTATTTACTTATTACTTAATGTGATATAATTTTTTTTTTTTTTTTTTTTAAACACATCGTAATCCCAACTGAGGCCTCAATGTTGTTTATCATATCAACTTTTGTGAAAACAACCAAATGTGCACACTCCATCGGTTAATTAGTGCTAGTTCACAACAAAATTAAGTGGGATTACCCTAAGTTTGAATATCTTCCTGCAGCCATAGATTTATACTGCACAATAATTTAAAAGAACAAGATAAAGTTACAAAATGAGATTACAGAGGCAAACTAGCAAGCCCTAAACAACACTCTAAATTCTCTGATCTGAAGGGAGGACCTGCTCCTCCCCTCGGATCCCAACTTCTTTCAAGAATTTTCCAGGTTTTGTAAACTCATTAGTGACATGAATGAATGATTCTTTATCATACTGTTTATCTGTCACTTATCTGATTCTTTCTTTCACATCTTGTAATAAGCACTTTTGCTGCCACGCTTTCTGCTTGTCCCCAGGTAGAAGCCACGTGTTCATGATTTTTGATGAATAGGGTCGGTTACACGTGGAATCATGTTGCGAACCCAGATAAACAGATCTTGGGCCGGTGGCTTTATTTTTTTTTAAAAAAATTTCTATTATTTGTTTGCATTTTTTGTTGTACGAGTAGAAGTTTCTTTCATTGCAGTAGTTAATTTTCCCATCAATCACTTTATGCTTTTATTTGTTCTTTCTTTGTTTAGGCGTCTCGAGGCCAATCTAGTTGTAAATCAAGTTGAATAAAAGTTAGAGTATTATTTGAAATAATTACTATATTACTTTTATGATATGATGTATGTGAAATAAAAAAAAGTAATTAATAATATAAAAAGATTGATTGAAAAATGTATTTGCAGATGCAAGTAAAATATTATTTGTTTCTGGTTAAATGTGAATTAGACCCTACCTCGATGTAATTGCAAACCAAATTTTTTAATTTTGTTTTAAGTCTAAAGTGGTATGATCTGTCTGATCTTCTCACATTTTTAAATTTTGATCAGTTGACTAGCTTCAAAGGGGTTTATTAGTTGTCAATTTTAGCGATAGAGAGCCTGACATGGACAAACAATTCTACTTAGCTTTTGTTGGAGAGTGGAACCATCTCTTCACTTTACTTGGTCATAGATCTAATCCGACCCATTTATTTCTGGTTTTGTTGTCTTCATCAAAATTTTCCAACAAATGCTGAGTGGTGAGTAAGTACAGGTTAAAAATTGAATTAAAAGTTCTTTAGGTTTAGGCTAAACAAATATGAGTCCGAAAACTCCTGAATATTAGTATATTTAATCTCGAGTTCGAAGATATTTACTCAATTTCAAATTTAAACTCAAATTTCGACTCGAGATCGACTTGATTAAGCATCAAGTACCCTAGTGGCAATGAACATAGCTGCAAACTAGCAACTGAATTAATGCTTAATTTAGAACTTGAGTTTGGCTGAACTTCTAACCGTCCAACCGATCTCAAATGCTAAACTACTCAAATTTCATACTTAAGTTGTGCTTCAATTCTTGAACAACATTTGATCCTAAAACAAACGGAATCTAATTGTTTCTGTTTCTATAATGGTGATATTACCTGAATTTCCGTTAGTTTTCGGATCAAATGTTGTTCAAGAAATGAAGCACAAACTCGAGCACGAGTTCGACTCAACTCAAGCTTGGCTTGCTTTCTCCTTCTCAACAAAATAGGGTAGTCGGAAGACGATGTCTGAATCCTCTATGTTTTGCTTCTTTCATCCTAAAAATTCGGGACATAGGCCTGAGATAATCTTGTGCTTAAGATTTAGGTCCAAGAGAAATTGGACTGACCTTAGGCTAAGACAATGTCAGCCGAAATGGAAAAAACTAGCCCTTTTCTTGTTCTGCAAGGTGTAATTTTTTTTTTCTTTTCCCCTCAATAAGGGAGAGGTAAAATTTAAAAAGCGAAGATGTAATACTTGTTTATATGTATTGGGCGTGAAACACAGTTGTGTTTGAATTGTTATTTTTTGAAAATTTTATAGAAAAATGTATTGTAGCGACTTGATGTGTATTACGTAAAAAGTGATTTAAAAAAAATATAAAAATTTTTTAGCAGAAAATTACAATACAAACAACTTCATCACGAACTTTATTTTGGCATTAGTTAAACAAATTTTACTTTATTTTAACATAGACTGAGCCAATTTGCTACAAAATTGCTTTATATATTGTGATACCTTTTTTTTTTAATATAAAATTTGTGGTGCTTTTCGAAGAGTGGAGAAAAGACCAAAAAAAAAAAAAAAAATCTCGAGTACCGCACAGCGTGATATCAGCATTGAGGCCCAGACTAGGCATAAACAATGTGGTATTAATTGATCCGAGCTTGAGTGATGTTGGCCTCTTTCTTTGGGCTGATATTGAGCTAAAGAAAGCCTTGCTCCAAAAGCTAAATTAACAAGGAAATGCAGAGCGTTGGTCCAAGAATAAAATCTTCGGTATGATTCTGGTGAAAAATTCGTACTGTGTAATTTCACTTTTTTTTTAAAATCTACATTTATCCAATATGGTTTCTTTGTGCGATTCATTCAGAATTAATAAATGGTCATTTAAGTGCGTTTCATGTTAAGCTTTTGTTTTCTAACAAAAAATAATGCCATCTATAATCATAAAGGTTAATCTGTGAGAATCATGGAAGAAATAATACTTAGTGCTATCTCCAAAAAAGCAGGAAAAAAAAAAGTAGTAAAACTTAGATCCTATTTGGGTTGGAGATTCTGGAAGTTATATATTGCACCAAAGTGTTTTATATGAGGTAAATAGATAACTGGGAGTTGTATCAAGGGAATATTCCAAAAATTTCCTAGAAAGAAATTATGAGTTAACGACTTGTATGATAATTCACCCTATAATCATGCTAGACAACTTTGAAATTTATTGTATTTTTAGATTTATTTACAATTTTTTGAACCTATTGAATATGTTAAATTGCAGATATGTAATTTCTAGTGCATGTTTAACCTGCCATTAGAGCAGTAATATAGATCAAATCACCGGATGATTTTTATTTTAGTAGTCAATTGTTTTGCTCTTTCTCGAGTAATGGTTTCTTTCGATTCCCTTAATTAGGATAATTCCATACCAGGATTATCGAATGCAAATAAAGAATTATCCTAGTGAAACATCATATCTTCAGGTAAAAAAAAAAATGAAGCCAACTATTGGTTCAGTTTGAGAGGCTGTTGTAATCCTCTTTTATGTTCTTCATTTGAAGAGAGTACTTACTTTTTCAGTTTTTCAATGAGAAAGTGTTTTTTTTTTCCCTGCTTTTAGGCCATTTCCAAATTTCTTCTGTGACACACACATTTCCTTCTTGTTACGCATTTACTCTCAGACACAAACATGAGAAACAATGCCGAGGCTGTCCATGTTTCCAGCCAAAAAACCACACAAGAAATAAACTGAGATGGTAAATATATCCTCTATCCACTTATCTAAAATTCACCAAATCTGGTCGTATAATGCAATTAGAAATAGACTATTCACCACGCAATATTGTAAACTAACTAAACCACACGTCTCATTCTATTTTTGCGTGCAAGTTGATGATGAAGAAGAAGTAGTTACTTTCTTCCCCACCCAACAATAAAAGTAGTTGAGCTACAAAATCCAGACCAATGCTCCATTAATTCAATTTGGTCAATCCCCTTTTAGTTTCAAGAAAGTTTTGATTCTTTCTACAAGTAGATATACCTAACAAATCTTAAAATATGTTGTCATTTCCAAGATACATAATTCGCCAGAAGCTGCATTAGCATTTGATAAACATTCTTTGGATTTTGTTCATTGCAAGTACAATATATTATTTCTCTAAACTTGGAATTAATGACAGCAAATTAGCTATCATGGCCTTGATAAAACATGCTTTTCTGAATTATCCTTGCCTGATCAAGCCAGAGGTGATCAAGAATCATGACAGTGTGGGCATCCCAGTAGCAAAATTCGTGGGCAATTCGAGGTCCGATGGTCGAAATCTTAGGCGCTTTTTGAGGGTGAATGCAACAACAGGCCCTCCAAGAAATGTTCAAACAATTAATGGAAACAAAGTAAATGGGATTTATGTTGATGGGATACCATCTTTTGCACAAGAACAGTGTCCATCGGTGAAAGAAAATAGCAATGAGGAGCCAAATCATGAGTATCTTCTTGGAAGATTCGTTGAAGACAGGTTTGTGTATAGACAGTCGTTTATTATCAGGTCCTACGAAATTGGACCAGAGAAGACTGCGACCATGGAAACCATTATGAATCTTCTTCAGGTTGGTTCTTTATCTTTTCAACGTTTTCTTTAAACAATTTCAAGAAGATCGAATAAAAGACAATCTTCTTTGGTAAATCAAGTTTCTCCGAATCATCTGTACATCACAAATTTTGATGAAAAAAAGAAAGTTTCCTCCATATGTAACAACATATTTGCTGATCCTTCCAAATAGAAGCTTGTTATATATTCTTGTGTTATAACACGTAACTTGCATATCACCACCTCATTTTAGTTCCTAGCTTTCTTTATTTTTCGTTCGACCTTAATCCAATTTGTTTGGCATATATAGGTGCTAATTTCATGTCAAGGTCTTTAAAGGCATTTTCTGAAGTTGATTTTATAATTAATAGACTCGTGAGACACTAGTGCTTGTGAGTTAGAAACTAATCATGGATGGCAAATATGCAGGATTAGAAAACAAAGAAGTATTAGAATTTTCAAGAGGGTATGATCAACAAACTTTAAATTTCAGAGCGGATAATTTGTTTTCAACAATTTGCTATTCGTTAGCCAAGATAAAATGGCAGTGCAAAATGAACGCATTAGTCTCTTCCAAGTTCCAACAACAAATTTGGAGTACTTGAAAAGTTATCTTAATTATATGGCTGTGTTGAAAAATGAATGTAGGAGACAGCTCTGAATCATGTAACAAGCTCTGGTGTGTCTGGAAATGGTTTTGGTGCAACTCGTGAGATGAGCCTCCGGAAACTCATTTGGGTGGTCACTCGCATTCATATCCAAGTCGAGAAATATAGCTCCTGGTAATTTTTTCACCATCTATCCACTGAAATCACTTTGCAATATGTGTGTGTGTGTGTGTGAAACCTTGTAATTAAGTCATTACCTCCCTTAGTGTTTGATTGTCATCTCAATTCCATACTAATCAAAATATTAATTGGGACAAGCAATAAAGTGATAAAACTGATTGAGAAGCATAATATTGTTGCAGGGGCGATGTTGTTGAGATTGATACTTGGGTAGCTGCAGCAGGTAAGAATGGAATGCGTCGAGACTGGGTAATTCGAGACTACAACACCCAAAAGATTATAACAAGGGCAACAAGGTGATCAATCTTCAAGATTAATAATTGGTTCACCATTTTTCCAATTATGTACTCTCTTTTTTCTTCTGGCACCTATAAATTGTCTGAATATTCGATTCATATCAATACTGCAGCACATGGGTGATAATGAACAGAGAAACAAGAAGGTTATGTAAAATCCCAGATGAAGTAAGAGAAGAAGTCCAGCCCTTTTACTTGAACAGAGTTTCAATATCCACAGAAGATACTGATAGCGAAAAGATCGAAAAATTGACTGATGAAACAGCAGAAAGAATCCGATCAGGTCTAGCTGTAAGTGTTGTTTAGGTACTCTGAGATGAGGATTGTCTTGCTCTTTTACTGTAGCTTACTGCTAAATTTTTGCCATGTTTTAATAAGTTTTCCTAATTTTCATGATCCAGCCTCGATGGAATGACATGGATGCTAACCAGCACGTCAATAATGTCAAATACATAGGATGGATTTTGGAGGTATGGTCAATCCTTAAAATTTCCCCACTTCATGTTCACTCAAGTTGCTCTTCAAATGTAAATATTCTTAAAAACTTTAGCCCCTTCGGATTGCACTTTTTATGGACAAACAATATTGTAATATTTTTCTTTCTTGAAATGTGATTGGAAAAAATTTCCCGCGAAAATTACAATCCAAACAAGGCATTAGCCATTCATTTTCCACTTGGACATAGAATTTTGGAAGAGCTAAACCAGAAAGCTCAAACATGTATATATAACCAACCAAGGTGATCGATTTTTAATGTTTCTTTCTTCCATTTTTTTGCTGCAGAGCGTGCCCATCAATATCTTAGAGGACTATAATCTCACAAGCATGACATTAGAATATAGACGTGAATGCACTCAATCCAATGTTCTCGAGTCCCTAACAAGTATGAAACCAGACGGAAAAGATGACCAAGAAGGCAGCTCAAAATTGGTAGTAAAGAATGATAAGAAAGGTTGGGAATGCACGCATTTGCTTCGCATGGAAGCTGATCAGGCAGAGATAGTCCGAGCAAGATCAGTATGGCAGTACAAACAACATCGCCTTATCATTTGATTTTCAAGCCAAATCCATAGTATGGATCTACAACGATTGCTTTTGCTTTTCTTTATACCGTCTTAGGTTCCTTTTTTGTTTCTTCATTTTTCCCTTTTTGGTAGTGTCTTCCACTATTGGAACCCATACACAGGTCCTTTCTTGAAACGTATGTAAATTGTTGGATACATTATTTGTTTGTACTTTTTGAGAATAATTGAGAGTTCTATGAAAAGGTATGAGGTGCTTTGAAAGTGTTCAAATGTACCAAACATAAGAAATTTACTTGCATTTATTCAATTTCGTGCAACATATCCTTGAACAGGAAAGAAAAACTGATCCATATAATAATACGGAGAATAAATTTGATCTTGACACTAGAGTCTTAAGATTTATAACTAAAAATTTTAGTTTCATTTTTTCTTTTGGTTTACTGATATATTTTTTTTAAAAAAAAAATATTAGGTAAGAATAAATTAAGAGGAGCAAAATTTCCACTGCAATATGAAGGGGATTAAACGAATTCGTAATAATCTCCCAAAAAAAAAAAGTAGATTACAACGCAAGAAAAGGAACCAAAGACCCATATGCTCCAAATTGCATGTCTTCAACTGTTACTCTTAGAACTTGAGTGAAGGGACAGATCGAAACAAGCTGCAAATGGAAGATATCTCATGAAAAAGTCGATAGAATTGTTTTCAGAAGGCAACGCAGTTGTATTTACTGTTTTTGTGCTTCTATCATTCATGGTACATTCAATTTTGGTCAAAAGAATAGAAATTGTTCCTATATACAAAAGTAAATGCAATTACCTGTTTGATGAAGATTATTCTTGCCAAACAAACAAACTTACCGGGGTCATATTATAACTTAGGCAAAATTTAGGAGAGTTAAATGTAATTTATGCAGAGACCATTTTTATCATTTCACTATTTTCCCAAAAATGACTAGTTGGGCACTTGAACTTAGATGTCATTACCTCTCCAGACCAATCTACGGTCCCGTTTGGAAGGTGAGTTTTTTGGGTGTTTGTCTAAAATTTTACTGTAGATTACTGTAGAAGTTGTAAGAAAAATTTTTAGGATGAAAAACTTTTTTTCTTTCTTTCTCTTTTTCTTTTTTCTTTTCTTTCCTCTCTTCTTCTTCTCCCTTCCCCCTCCCCCTGCACCTCTGCCTCTGATGTAGAAGATCCAGCAACCATGTTTCCAATTTTTTTGTCCCTTTTTTGCCCTCTTCTCCCCCTCCCTGTCACCCTCCGATGCCAGAGAATTGCGGCCATGGATTTTTTTTTTTTTTGCCTTTTCTCTCCCCCTCTCCTCTCCCTTTCCCGTCACCCTCCCCTCCCCCTAGTTGCGATCTGGTCGCCCAGCAGCCATCTTGCAATTTTTTTCCTTTCTTTGCCCCTCTTCTCCCTCTCCTCTCCCCTCCCCCTCGCCCTCCGAGGCTAGAGCTTGCAACCATGGATTTTCTTTTTTTTTAGCTTTTTCTCTCCCCCTCTCCTCCCCTCCCCCTCCTCCCTCCCCCTTTGTGATCTGGTCGCGCAACCAAATCGTAGCTAGCGGGAGGGGGAGGGTGGCGAGGGAGGGAGAGAGACAGAGGGGAGGGGAGGAGAGGAGGAGAGGGGGTGAGGGGTGAGGAGAGGAGAGAAAAAAAAAAAAAAAAGGAAGGCCGGCATAGGTGACCAGCTCCAAGAGTGGTGGTGGAGGTGGTGGTTGGCGACAGAGGACGTGGTGGGTTGGGTGAGGGAGGAAAAAGAAGAAAAGTTGAAGGGAAATTTTTTGTGTATTACAAAAGTTGAAGAAAAGTTGAAGGGAAAATTTTTTAAGTGTGTAGGTTAAAAACTTTGATAAGTTTTTTGGGGTTCCTGTAGTAAAAGTTGTTAAAAAACTAGAAGCATACAAATTTATAAAAAACTTGGGGTTTCAAACAGGCCCTACAATTTAGACAAAACTTAGGGGATTGTAAAGAAATTATAGCGACTGAGTGGAGGAAACACCTGTTGGATGCTTGGATTGGCCCATACTTAGCCCAGCATGCATACAAAGTTTTTGAATCCAAAGTGTCCCCCACTTTTGTTGCCAACTTCATGGTCCAAAATTCTGTAATGGACATCCTACTTTCTTCATTTTTTTTTATCGAGCAGTAATAATCTACACTACTTCTACGCTATATATACATACATATATATATATATATATATATATACACACACATTGAACTGGACTTGTATGAGATTGGGGTGAGCCTCCAAACCAAACAAGTGCACGAGAGAGATTTAAAAGACTTTTCCTGATCATCGGACTAAAGTCCAATGTTTCTATTTTCTTCTTGATCGTGGTAAACATCTACCACTTCCCCTCAAATCCTTGTAAGGGAATGAAGCTCGTGAGAAATAAAAAAATTCACGGTTATTTAATTAATGTCCTTATCAACCAAAGCCACTTCCCCTCAAATCCTTGCAAGGGAATGAAGCTCGTGAAAAATAAAAAAAAATTCACGGTTATTTAATTAATGTCCTTATCAACCAAACCCTTCTTTATGTTGGATGTTAACTTATGCTATTAAATCGAAGACCAATTTCTTTGTTTTGGAGATTCAACTCAATTGATAAAAACACTAACAACATACTCAAGAGATCCATGTTTTGATTTTTAGGGCCTCCTCTTTGTCTATCCCTGTTGATAAGGTGTAGAATCTCCATAGAATTGAAAAAAGGTGACCAATTACTTCCAAAATTATCAAAACTTGCCCAACATTTGTTTAGCATGCACTCAAACCTAACCCATTTAATTTACGAATTCTTATGAATAGTTGCCTAAATTACTTAACAAGCAATCACCTTATATGCATTCCCCAGAGTATGCCCGACACTAAAAGTCGAATATGAGTATGTCCAGATACAACTTTTGATCCTTTGAACCACCTTTTATTTCTTGATACTAGCGGTTTTTTGGAGGCCTATAATTCACAGGTGCCCACAAAGCATTTCCCACCATACCACATCGTACCTAACTGTTGGTTGCTTTATGGACACCCTAATATCATGCATGTATGTCACGTCCCTCTAAGTCCTCCTTGTGATCGAGTACTTTACATACAATAAACAAAACCTCCTTGGTACAACTATTGTAAAGATGATGAATAGTTAATTAGTTAAATTTTTGTCATCATGCACTGGCCTCGTCGAGATCTTGATGACTTTTTGGTGAATTAGTGCCTCCTAGTGCAACTTTTGATCAATTGGCTCCACTAGCATGTATCATCATCACATGCTTGTCTACGCATATAATTTTACCATGATATGTCTAGCTTTTTTATAACAAAAATTGATGTTTATACCTCCTCCTCTTCTAGGTTATCTTTTCTGTTTTCTACTTTTTTTTTCTGGGTTAACTCTGAATCTAAAATTGAGAAATTATCCTTCCAAAGAAAGAAAAGGAAAGAAAAAATTAATTTGCCCGTCAATGGAAATTCAAATATGAGTTTTTGACATTTTATGGACTGACTGATCGATGATGAATGCCTAAACTGGATAAGAATATGAGAAAGAAAGCATATTAAAAATCCATAATGGTTTTTGGGGGCTTTGGGCAATTCTGGTGATTTTAATCGAAATTTGGAATCTATCATAAGTCTTATCTTGGAAAAGATTCTCCCACAATATCTACAAGTTTTCAGGTTCCTTAATAAGCTTATGGACTCTAATGACATCTCATTTTATTTGGTGACATTTCAGTCGCGGCTTCAAACTTAAATATTTCATATGGCATATCATTTTGTTCTATACGATGTCATTAGAAAAATGAAGAGGAAACAAATCTTAAAGATTTTCCACATGACTTAGAAGAAATTATTGGTATGACATAGGAGGTTATAGTCATCCAGCTAAAAATGTTAAGTGCTGATAATGGCATGAAAATAAATCCCTTTGAACTGGCCAAGAAGGGATTTTCAATTTCCAAGAAAAAAAAAATTGACCGTAGGATACTTTTAAAGAGGAATATCATTTATTCCAAAAGAATTCAATGGGACAAAATTTATTTTCCAGTAGAACCTTTATTTTGTTATTGTAGAAAGGTGTTGTCCGCTCCTCAGAAATTCCCCTTGCTTCAAATTCCTTATGGATGTTTATGCTAATAATATCAATGTAAACATAATACCAAATATTATGAGAAAGAATGGTACAAAATACGTAGATACAAAGGTAGCAAAAGCAGAAGAACTAAAGTCAGTTCTATTTTTGTTTTTCAGTTGAACAAGGTATGGTGTACATAAATGAAATTAGTTGTGTATTTTAGTCTCTGTTGACATTTTGTTGTTCAAGAATGTGATATGTTCAATGTTTATAGCTGCATCGATCGTTTGACATGATACTGACAAATGTCACTACTTGACTACTACCTAAACTACCATGAGGGATGTGCCGGACCATATGGAGTGAACATGTGCAAGGATTCGATAAATGATTAAGGATGATTAGAAAACGTGTTTATGAAAAATGTAAAAATTTTTTTAAAAAATATCAATCCAAATAATTATAGTTAGGGGTTAATCTTCTAGATAGCGAGAATACATATACTAGCAGAGTTAGATGTACGGCATAAATGTAAGATTTTAGTTTCAAATTTAAATTATGACCAATTGTCATGCATTTAAACAAAAAAGTATATATATTATTAGTGTATAGAAGATTAGCTCTATATTTAACCCATTAAAGAATATATTATTGAAAATAATTTAATTTGTAGTCAAGGGTATAGAAATTTTTTCGAATTTTTGATAAATTATTAACCAAGAAATAACTCTATAACTGCACACTACAAAAAAAAATAAATAAATAAAAATGGTATGCATATTGTAAACTTACCAATCTACTAGAAGAGTACAACTTTAAATCCTTTTTTTTTTGGGATAAGGTTTTGAACCAAGACTTCCTACTCACAATCCCTCTCACCTTACTATTCAACCCAAACCTCCTCCAACTTTAAATCCATGTATATTATCTAAAATTTCCAAATCTGCTAGAAACACCTCTATAACTGCACGCTATAAAAAAAGGTTGGTATGCATATTCTAAAATTTCCAAATCTGCTAAAAGGGTAAATCTTTAAATCCATGTACATTATCTAGCTTTTTGAACTTTATTAGACCTTTTGTTCTTAGACATTATAATGGGGAATAGTATCACAAATTCCCCTTGAGATATCTGAGAATTTGGCAAGAAAGAATTTTGTATTTAACTCATTATA